ATGCTTAGCTGCCTAAATTGCAACTAGAAACATTATTTTTAGTTGTCATTATCAGAACTAGATAACTAACTCTCAAGATATTGTACAAAGTATCTTTTAAGAATATACTTCTTATTATTCAATATCAATAATTACTGCTGACCAAAGAACTTTATTTGATATTTTTATTGACAGCCCAGTTAGAGCTCAACATATTGAAGCATTACAAGCTACTGCATTAGAATTAGCACAAGGTTCTAAGAAAGAAACTAGTGCATCTACTTCTCAGCAAACACTACAAAAAACTATTATTACTGTAGAAGAGTATGCTACAACTTCTACTTATTCTATTACTACTATTGTTACTCCTACTTGAACTCCAATACCTATTGTAGACCCTAGCTCTTTAGCTTCATATAGTAAAGATCTAACTAGTAGACATCACACCTATTATCAACCAAATAACTATCAAGAATAGAAGAATTACCTTCTCTTTTTATTTAACCAAGAGCTTCACAAGAAAAAGAAATTACTTGAGAACCCTTTTATACTCCAACTCAATCCTTCTATCTTTCTCAACTTTTAACCTTAACTACATCAAGACAAGTTAATAGATTTGCTAAACTTGTAATTAAAGAAATTAAGCTTCTTTTACCTTATCCTGGTATTGAATCAAACCCAGAAGAAACTTCATCTACAACAACTAAAAATCTCATTACAACTAAAAAAGACACCTTTTCAATTTTTAATTTACAAGAAATAATTAATTATTCTGAAATTTTAACTACATAATCTATTATTGAAATATCATTTAATTATCACCAACCTATTGATCTTGAAAACTTTGTCTGAGACCTAAAAACTCATACTCAAGAGGACACAACTTTAACTATTAAAAATTTTAATCTATTAACAGAACAAGACTCTTTAAAATTGTATCAATTAAAAGTAATAAAACTGAAGACCCAGTTGATTGGATTAATGAATTTGAATGAGCTGCTATTGCCAATATATGGTCTGAAGTAGAGCTCTGCAAATGCCCATGTCTGGCATATTGGTACCAGGCCAGGCACTAGTGCCCACATGTTATGCCTGTGCCTATAGGCACAAAAGTGCCAGGCATTATCAAAGGCATGGTCATAAAGTGCCAGGCACTATAATAGGCACAGGCACTAATTACCTGGCACTATTACAAGCACTATAGAACTATTATAGTACTATAGACACCAAGTGCCAGGCATAGACATAAGGCACTAGTGCCCAACATAGTGCTAGCATTGGTGTTACAAATTGAAAGTTGAAAAAATCGATTAGTTGGTTAGTTAACAACTAATTAATTGAACTTTTTAGATACCAACTAATTGATTAATTAATTAATCGACTAATTGGATAGTTGCAACTAATCAATTAATTGATTAATTATAATGTACAATTAATTGAAAAATCAATTAACTGATTAATTGCAACTAGTTTATCAACTAAAATAATTCTTAACTAATCGATTGGAAAATTTTAGTGATTTGTAACATTAGCTAACATGCTGGGCATGGACATAAGGCACTGATGCCAGCCTACCTGTATGTTGGAAATAGGCTTTGCAGACCTAGTGACTAGACTATATAATACTAAAAGCATTAAGTGTTAAACATTAGGTATTAAGTACTGAGAAAATAATAAGCATTACAGAGAAAAATAACTTGCATCATTAGAAACTCATCTTTTTTACTGATTTAAATAGTGATTACAAGCAGTAAAACCTTATTATATTATCATATAGAAGTGCAAAATAATTAATTATTATTTTACATTACTATATGATCACATAATGAAATTTTATGACTTATAATTACTACTTAAATCAGTAAAAAAAACCTGAGTTTTTATTGAAATAACTTGCATTGATAAAAACTCATTAATTAAAGTAGGATTATGAATCATACAACTCTATTATGATATCCTATAAAAATGAAAAATAATACCTTTATTTCTCTGCTATGGAGAAATAAACTGATAGATCTTCATCCTGTTGTGGGCCCTTTGGGCTCAGATGACCAGGGATGTACCTTTTATTCTTGCTGTTGTGGAAAATAAATAGTACTCATTTATCTAAAGCAGAAAATAAATGCCTGATTTACTAATTAATAACTAGAGGTTATTTCTATACTAAGTTTAATTTAAATAACATGTAAATTTCTATAAAAAACAATTAGTAAAATGGGAATTACAAAGATTTACTTATTCATTTTTTTTATTTTCTGGAACCTTTTCATCCTTATAATTAAATAAAATACATTATTCAAATATATGATCGAGTCAAATATATCAAACATCTATAGTTCAAATAAGTAATTGAGTTAAATAATACATGATTCAAATGCAATCGAATCAAATAAATCAAACACCCACAGTTCAAATAAGTGATCGAGTCAATAAATTTAATACCCACATTTCAAATAAGTAATCAAGCCAAATAAATAAAATAAATAAACCTAATAAGTAGAATTAAATAAATAAATACTCTATTAAAATATGTAATCAAGTCAAATAAATCAAATACCAACAGTTCAAATAAGTGATTGAGTCAAATAAATCTAATACTCACATTTTCAAAAAGTAACTAAGCTAAATAAATAAACAAATAAATACAATTAATAGGACTAAATAAATAAAATATGTGATTCAAATGTGATTAAGTCAAATTAATCTAATACCCATTATACAAATAAGTAGCCAAGTTAAATAAAATAGCTTATAGTAAATAGTGATCAAGTTGAATAAATAGAAAAGTGTTGTTCTTCATTTTAGACAATAATAAGTGATTAATTTAAATAAATGCTGCAAAATGAAAATGTGAAACTGAATATTTGTTATTAATAAAGCAAATTTAGACTCCAATAATACATATCAGCATCTTAGTAATATAATAATGTTTTTTATATTATCACACTACTAAAATACCAATAATAATATATGTCATAATTCATCAGGATTAAATTTACCTTATTGATAACTTAAATATACAGTTCTAAGTTTTCACTTTACAGCACTCAAATAACTAGAAAAATGGACATTGTCAGATATCTAAAATCAAAATTCAATAATAATTAAAAATAAATTAATTAGCTAAATTTATTATATGAAATAAAAATATATGCAAATATAAACACAAAGTCTGGTATATTACTTCTTTATAATATTCTTCACTATACTTCAAATAATAATAAATAATTTAAGTAAGTTAAATTTCAAATAAGTATTATATTGAATACATATGTAAGTTAAAGCTAAATAGATTAAATAAGTAATGCGATTGTAATAAAAAATTAATAATAATTTAGCAATATTTGTAAATAATGGCAATATTGCTACAATTCAGTAATTTTGATGTCAACTATAACATACTGTTGAAATTTGATGCAATACTTTTTTTATAGAAATGTTTAATAAGATAGATATTTGTATTAGAATATTTTCAGATACCTTTTTAATAAATTCAACAAAGAATCTAATTAGCTTATCTAATAGTCAGGCTAGCTTTTTGTTAATTAGATGCTTTGGAGTTATCATGCTAACTCTAAACAATGAATATATTAAATACAAAATAAGTGATTGTGTTAAGTTAGTATTTAGCTAAAATATATAATCATATTAAGTATGAAATAAATAATCGAGTGGATATGTGGTCAAGCTAAGTTAAAAGAATTGATTACATTAGAAATAGATTTAAAAAAAAGTATAAATAGCACAGTAATTTTTGCATATCATGTATTTCATATTCTTATCTTGCACTGTATTGTACTTGCTTTATATTATCTTTTTTATCTTCTTTTATAAATATAAATACATATTATTTTTATATTTTTTACTACTACTTGCTTATTTATATATATTGAAATATTTTTTAATGATAGAAGATTCAACATTATCTTTTAATAATACAGTCTCTAATATCTCAACATCAAGTGAAATCAGATCAAAAATAGTTGGTAATATATATGCCATCAAAGATCACTAGAAAAAAATAACACATAATGTTAAAAGTGTTAAGAAATGCCTTCATTGTAAAGAAATTGGTTTTCAATAAACACAAGTAGAACATACTTAAAAGAACATACTTTGAAATATTCTACATATTCACTATCCGAAACTCAAAGAAATATATTCTAGCAGAGGTAAAATAGATAAGTTAATAATTGACTTAGTTGTTAGGACGAGAATGTCTTTCAGTATTATTAATAATTTATTCTTTTATTAAGTGGCTAAAAATCTCTATCATGTTACAAATTCATATAAAATTCTACATTTAACAACAATATCATGACATATTACAGGCAATATATTCAATTTAAGATTTGGCTTTATCAAGAATATACTAGCAAAGTCTTATAAAAGAATCTCATTAACATATAATGAGTGGTATTTAACTATTTACAAATGCTATTATATTGTTGTTATGGCATTGTAGATTAGTAATGATTAGAGGATTGTTAACATCATATTAAGTTTTCAAAAATCAGATCAAACAGCAGAAGAAATATTATTAGTAATAATGAACACCTTAGAAAAATATTCTATTAAGGAAAAAATATTCATGCTTACTATAGACAATATTATTACAAATAAAGCCATAAGTCAGTTACTCCAAAATAGGCTGCAAAATAGAGATTTAATATCAATAGGTTTGACTTTTTGTTTAGTTTATTATTATTATTATTATTATTATCATTATTATTTTAAATTTTTTTTTTTTTTTTTTTTTTTTTTTAGGATACATATGTTACATCTTAAATCTCATCATTAAAGAGTGCCTAAAAGATATAAACTCATTACAAAAAAAGGTTCACAAAATTATGAAATACTTATCTAATCCTTTAACTAGTAGTCAATTGGAAGTATTAGAGTTATACTGTAGAATTTCTAAAATAAAACCTTTGTGACCTATTCTTGAAATAAACACATGTTGGAACTCAACATTGTCTATGTTTGAAAAATATCTTTATTTACATTAAGCAATTTATGATATGTGTTCAAAAGATCCATCAGTGCTCCTATGCTTGAACAATGAAGAACTTGTAATCCTTAGTTTTCTCTGTCAGCTTCTCAGACCATTTGAAAATGCCATGTTAGTTCTTTCTGAGGAATGATCGAACTCAATCTCTGAAGAGTAATTGTTATATTAGATATTGGTCAGCATATCAATAAGAAAGCCAGGAATCATCATAAAATGAAAAAAAATTTGACAAATACTAGACTACAATCATGGATTATATTATAATTACATATGTACTTGACTCAAGATGTAAATTGAAGCCTTATATGCAACCTTAATTAAAGTTGGTAGATATAGTAAAGATGAAGCAGAATTGTTTGTTAATAATATTCAGGAAAAAATTATTTCATATAGAACAAAATATTCAACTGCTGTTGAAGCTAGTGAACTTTCTGAAGCTATTAAAACTGTTAAAATTAATGATATTTCTGCAAATAGTTTCTCATTTTTTAAGAGAAAAATAACAAATAAGCAAAAATGTCTAAATACAATTGAAGCTGAATTAGAATTATATGAGATTGAGCCCCTTGAAGAAATCTGACATGATGATGAAAAGAGAGAAAATAAAAAAATACTATCTTGGAAATTTTTATCAAAAAGATTCCCAATACTTGGTAGAATGGCACATGATTATTTATGTATGAAGCTTTTAGCATTTCTAGCAAGAGGGTCTTTTCAAGAGCAGGCTTTACTATTACTAGTAATAGAGTGTCTATTAGTTGTCCATTAGTGAAGAAACAGTTTCAAGCACTATACTCATGCATTCATGGTTAACAGAAAGCCAAAATAAGTTTAGTCTTCTTCAGGATCTTTCATAATTTAAACATCTTTTAATTGACCAAATATCGATATGGTATATATATTTATTGTAGTTGTTACACAATTATTTGTAATATAGTATATGTAATAAAAACATTTACTATATATATCCACTATAAAATAACTAGTCACATAATTTTTTTTTGGTCCTAGCATATACAAAATAAATTATCAATAATAATATATCAAAATTAACAATTAAAGATTTTTATCTCAAGTTACTATTAAAATTTAGATATAATTAAATTTTTGTAATATTATTTTATACTAATAACAGATAGAATTAAGGTATAATTAGCTTATTTTTGTAATATATTTTAGGAAATTGCATATTAATTATCAATGATTTAAAACAATCTTCATATATATATTAAAATATCACAAAGCAGAACTTTAGAAGTAAACTTTATTTAAGTAAATTTATCAGCACTAAATTAATAATAAATAGTAATAATAATATTAAAAAATTATAGGAAATAACAGATTTAAAGCTCTTAATATAGTAACTGTGTCTTATTCAAAAACCTATTAAATTAAATAATACCTTTGAATATTGTAAGGTGTAAGGTAATATATTTGGAGAATATTCTTAGTTTAAAACAGATGATATAGGGATTTGAAAAAATTATTATTACATAACATCAAAGAAAATCATTATTACATAACATCAAAGAAAATTATAAAGATAATATTTTAAATTTCTTCAAAATGTAAATACTTATAAATATTAAATTTATTATTTTATATAGGCCAAGTTTATAATATCAGAAAAACCCTCCTTAATCTCATAATCCTGTTACATTACTTTCAACCAGGAAGAGCTCTATTGAATCTATTTCTTCAACTATCTTAAATGATATCGATGAGATCAAAAAATTAAGATAAGAAAAATATTACTTTCAAAAGAGTGATCTTTAGACAAAAAAATCAAGTGAAATGAATGTTGATTCATAGTTATATAAGTAGATTCAACCCTAGGACCTTGAGGAAACGTTGCATAACGACCCACGATCTGCACCACGAAAACTGTCATACAATAATACCCACAACCCAAGACAAATCAAGCTCCTTATTAAGTAATGGCACCAATCCATTGAAGAAAAAGCCACCTGCCTGATTTGTAATCCAACTGTCAAGGTGATATTACCTTGACAGGAAAAGTCTGTGGCCGTGTCAATGCATCGTCATATGTTGGATTGTATGCCATTGTGGGATGATGCTAAAGTAATGATGGATGAATTGTAAGAAAAGGGAAAAGTGTTAGTAAAAAAAGGAAAAACAGTCTATGACAATGAGAAAAAGGATGTCAAAGCTGTGTTCCAAGTTTTCATTTCTCTTCCCAAAATGTTCTATAAAAAGTGTGCCTTCTGCCCTATAGATGCCATATAGATACAGGAGATATAGTACCTTTCCACCTCTACAAACCCAAATCACCTTGTAACTTGTAACCTGCCTTATAAAATAAATAAAGTTTTAATTAATAAACTACTAAACTATCAAAATAAAGTAATTAAATAAAATAAACTATTATGCTCCTTTAAACTCCCCTGGTAACATTCTCAAGGCCACCATAAACCAGTGCCAAATCGAATCCATCTCACCTGCCTTGAGCGATGTTATGCGATGTTGATGAATTCAAAGCAACAATTCGTCGCATTCCTTCTTGTCCCAATAGTGCCATTCCTGACCTTGTACCCTGCATCAATAGTAATATGAGTTCTATCAAACTGTTAAGTTTTTTATCAGTAACTATTAGTAAATATCTTATTTTTGCTAACTGTTTACTGGCAGATACTGATAGAAAACTTAGTTATTTGGTAAAATTAATATCACTATTTGGTTCATAATGATTATTTACTTATTCATTTATTTAAGAAGCAATAAGTTATATATATCAAAAACTTTATGTCTATTTCTAATTTTGTTAAAAAAGACTGCAAGATGACATTTAAGAGAAAAAGTTAAATCTAAAAGAAAGGTTATAATTTTTGGGTATTAAAAATTAAGCTAGGTAAATGAATAATACCTGGTTTTTAATCAATGTTACATTAATTTGTCTATTAAGAAAAAGTTTATTTTATTATAGGCAATGCAAAAAAGCACTAATTAGTCTAAACAGATAGCTAAATAATATAATTTATTTTAGATATCATGAAGAACTTGCTATGTGATGAAAACTATAAAGAATCTTTTATAAATTTGAATAAGTTACTAAAAATTAATTCAAATAATATATAAGTAAATAACAGGTATCTGCGAATTGGTTGTTTATTTAATGAACTTAGGTAATGATGTTCTATTATTTAAGAGTAAAGTGAATATAGATCATTTTTCATGACTTAGATAGTATAATGAATTTTTATATAGTAAATTAAAATGTGTTACTAATAAAACTTTTTTATTTTTTAATTAATTTTTATTAAAATTCAATAATATATAAATTTAAATAAGTTATTTATTATATTAAAATTTTATAAGATGTTTAATTTAAAAAAATATATTTGTATATATCTTGAATTTTTTTAAGACACTCTATGTTTTTCCTAGGTTACACAAAAAGGTTAACTTTAATTGGTTAATTTTTAAAAAACTTTAAGAGAATTTTAATAATAAATTTTTATATCTAATCTTTTAAAAATTCATATATTAATGAGTTTTAAACCAATTTTTAATAATTTTATTACTGTTAGCATTACAAAAACCTATTTTATAATTTTACTTAAGAGTATAAAAAAATATTTAATTAATAAAAACTTTTGTAATTAAAATTATAAAAAAATATACAATCAAGTTTATATATAATTTTAAAATAGTACACTCTATCTTTAATATTGTTTATTTATTTATTAGATTATAATGATTGATCATTTATAATAATTAAATATTATGCACAATTAATACTTTTTTGATCCAGACTTTAAGTTATTGAACATCTAATAATATTGTTAAAAGTTAAATTAAGTTTGAAGTATTTCTTTCTTTTGATTCTAGTGAAGATCTGTACTAATTCTATCTTTTTTTTTTTTAATGTTTTACGAGCTTACTTTTAAAATGCATATACACTATTACTTAACTGGTCTAATTATTTTCTATGCCACTTATTATAACTTTAGCTTTTTTTTTAGTCAGTTTAAAAATCTTAGAATTTCTGTATGTTTATTGCCTTAATTTTTATTATTATTATTATTATTATTTTTACAAGTCTCTATAAACCTCAGCATTTTATTAATATTCAATATTTTTTGTTCTTGCGTTGTAATTAATAATGTATAAATTAGGTTTTTTTGCCACTTCTAAGTATAAGCCAAATGTTAACTGTGAATAAAATATTTTTATTTTTTATCAATTTATATGCTCAAAAAAATGTTATATTACTTTCTAAACAAATATTATAAAACTATATAGGCATGTCTCTAGTTAAATACAGAAATATACATTTCAAAGCATTTATGCTGGTGAATAATTAAAAAAATTTAAAAGACCTATACTTAGAAGTTAGTAGGTCTTTTATAAGCCAGGTTCTCCAGCATTTACAAAGATATAAATGTATTGAAAACTTCTGTATCACATTTAGACAAATACAATAAATTTGATTTTTGAAATTTATTTTGAATTAAATTTTTAAACTGGTTGTTTATATCTAAATTTTTTAATATTAGCATCTATTTGAGTAATATTGTTATTAGGGAATTTTGCCAAATATTGCTCCCGAAATTTCAATAAGTCTACCATATAATGCTTGGTCCAAGTCATACCACTGACATTCAATTCACTGATATCTTGTTTTATTAGCAATTAATACACAACAAATTCATTTCAACAATACTTATTTTATCAACAATCTTTTTACTATTTCTATTAGGTTAAGTTTAAAATTAAAGTTAAAGTTATTGCAATTTTTAAAAAACCTGTCAGTAAAATTAACTGTTGTGAAATAATTGTCAGTGAAATAAACTTGTAGATGAATTGATTGTTAATGAAACAAGATGCTTGTAAATTGATTGTAGGTGAAATGACACAGGCCTCTTATATACTATGGCAACAAATATTTATTCATTTGAAATAATAATATGTAGTTTTATATGGGATGGCTGTATCTTATTGTTATAAATTTAGTAAACAGCAGCTTCTAGTATTACTAATATATATTTTATTATATTAAGTAGTAAGTATAAGCTAGAGATGTACTGTATAGTTATATCAAAAAGATGAACAGTTGTATCAAAAGTGTCATAACAGCATATGTTATAATATATATTAAAATTAGAGGTTTGCAATCTGGGCTCGTGTCTGTGCCTAATGAAAAATCTAGACATAGGCATGAACACAAAAATTCAGACATGAAGCACAAAAAACTTGGCATAGACATAGGCATAGGCACAGAAACTGAATATTTATTATTTAATTGTGTCTGGCACTTTGCTTGCTACTTATATCTAGCATTTTGTATCTATGTCTTTGATAGCATCTGGCACTTTGCCTAGAACTTGTACTTAGCATTTTGTGCCTATGCTTTTGATAGCATCTGGCACTTTTGTGCCTATAGGCACAGGCATGTTATAAGGCACTAGTGCCTGACTTGGTGCCAATATGCCAGGCATGGGTATTTGCAAATCCTTACCTATGACCATGCTATCCTATGCCTATGCCTATCTCATCTTATGCCTATGCTCATGCCTATGCCATCCTATACCTATGCTCATGCTTATGCCATTCTATGCC